AGAGCTTGTGAGCGAAAGATTTTCCGAAAAACAACACGTTACTTGAAGTTGGCATGAGGCATAGGTTCCCGACCCCTGATCTAGACGAAGGCCGAGCAAGGAAAATCAGCTAATTCTTCAAATAACATCATTTCGGCAAATTCCAAATTAGTACATGCGACTTCCGCACTTTCGCATTTTCCTTCATTTTATATGCCACTGGAAGTATCGCTAAATGCACGTCGTTCTTTGTTTGGACCAGCTCTAACTTTGCCAGACACTGGCATCGAGAGGGGCTTTCGAGGAAACGAACGGCCCATTTACAATTCATGAAACTATTTTCTTTCACCTTTTGCTCAATGTTGGGAAACTCTTTCATTCGGATGCAGCGACGCACCTCTTTATTTTGCTTTCCTGTTGGTCGTCCGTTCACTCCAGAAGAGAGAACTAGAGAGCAACGTGTCGTGGAAAGTTCAATTTCGGAGGCAATTTCATGAATATTTTCCGAAAACCTCGAATCGTGTTATCATGCTAATAATGTTAATTTAGCATGTGATACGATAGCTCTGTTTCTTTGAATGTCTTCTTATTGGCCTTTTCGGGAGGAAGTTCTTCCAGGGCTATTTCAATTTCTATGGTATGGAATTACCCCCTCGTGCTAGAGATAGAAAGCAATGATTCGCTTAAGTCCGGGTTTTCGCAGACGATCTTGAGCATGGAAATTATAAACAGTGAGAAAAAAACTCAAGACAGAAATGAATTAGAACAGTATCCCACTATCTTAAAGTTAGGAAATCGCGTACTTTGAGGTGTAAATTTACGAGAAATAATGCTCATTATGGTGCTACACCAAATTGATTCTGTAGGTTACGATTCTCCGAGATTGTTGAAATGAGCCAAAAATATATACTTGAATCCCGAAACGCCGAACCATGGTTCGATGTGGTTTCCTCGGCTCCAGTGAGATCAATACTTTGAGTCGACTGCAGATCCGGGCAAATGAGGTAACTCCACGTACCTGGACGAGGCAAGCTGCAATCGATATGGGGCGCAAGCGAAGCGGATTGGATGAATCTGTAACTATCCAGTGTTTCGGGAACCCAGGTAGGAGGACCTTCACGATTAGTTCTGGTTTGTCCTGTGGAAGAGAAGCATCTCCTCTTTGTCGTGCCACGACGTTCTGAAAAGACTTTCAGTAATTTTTGTACGAGGCGCTTCACTCCTGTTACATGGTTAGACATGCATGCAAGGGAGTGGACACTAGTGATAACACCCTCTCTGCTCTTTCAAATATGCTTATCAATGAAATTTGCTCGCGAAATCGGAAATATGATATTAGAATATTTATTTATCCCGCGACAGTATTACTGTTAATGCAAGGACATTTCACTGCAGGCCTACTGCCAGCAACTTCTAAAATTATTTTTGGAATTTCTGGTCGCGAGTGCTGTCTCTGCATCCATAGTCTCAGAGTATGGAAGGACATGTTCAAGTGTTTATTGCATACTAATCTTCTTCCATCATCATAGATTCATTCATAGGTAGATGATGAGTGCTAAACAGGCACAAATATTCTGAGGAAATGGTCAGCTTCGCCCCCATGCTGCTACAGAGGTGAGTTGTCCTAAAACACTTTGAAGCCCGTGCATGCATTCATGAACCATTTTGATTCTCTAACATGTTCTCAGTTATTTTTCCTCACAGTTCATAATTTCTCCATTAACCGAAAGAATATTAATTTGATATGGACATAGACTTCCATCCGACACAAGCAATGCATGCGCTTCATTAAGGATCAAGGTCCATTGCACATGCACCTTGATCCTTAATGAAGCGCATGCATTGCTTGTGCATTCCCTCTGAGGTCCACCGAGCTGAATCGATCTAGCAACACACACCTCATTGAATTCTACCTATACTGTCATATGTATAACAGATGGAATTCATATGAACTGAAATTTAATTATTTTGAATTCACGATTAAATTAAATTTCTGTTTTTATTCCCCATTGTTTTTGAAGAGAAACAGAATTGTCTGAACACCAATGAAATCCCCTTTTCCTGAATTTCTTTTAATATTAATTACTCTTGAATGCTAAAACAGGAAGTCGGGACATTATTTGTGGATGGTTGTGATTTCCTGCCTGCTTCGGGAAGGATCGGTCGAACTTCAGACATATATGGCTGCACTTCAAGGACAACGATATGGAAACGTCTCTGAGGAGATGACTGGGACAGACTTTTCGGGTTGCAGCCTCTCATGCATGAAACACAACGAATCTCATCCCTGTCATGCATTTAACTTTAGGGAAGCTGATGGATCTTGCCAGCTGATCCACAATAACAAAAGCCATATCGTCAATGCTGAAGGGTACCAGGCGTATGTTCAATGTGAGTGCCCCGAAATGAGAAGCTGATGAAGAGGAATAGGCATATTATCAGCTAGCCAGTTTATTTCCTCTTAGAAAAAAAAACCGCAATGCTTGTGCCTTCAACGCTAAAATAGTATACTAAATTCAAATCGGGAATTAAAAAAAACCATCCTATTAATGTTTTAATAGTCCTACTAGACCTGGAACTCAGTATCACAGGCACCAGAATGACTCTCACGTAATATATTATGATTTCAATTAATCCTAAAGAGCAAGACACTATGCAATTATACACAGCACTTTCAAACTAAATTGAATCTTCGCCGATATGGTCGCCTTACAGCTGGAAAGCATGCTAAGGCTTATCGTACACATTAATAATAAAAACTGTAGGGACTGCCAAGTAAGCTATTCCTTTTTCATTCCTGACATCAAGATTGCTTAGGTATTTGAAATAGAAATGAAGAAGAAGCAGAACTTCCCAGTCTTACTCATTAGCTGAGATAGATAAACTGTGAACAATGACTTATGGGAGAAAATAAATGACTGCTGCAACTACAGAAGATAGTGGCACTTAATTTTCTTGAATTGAGCAAAACCAACCTATGAACAGGGAATGCAGCTGAAGAATATTGATGAAGGAGCGAAAAGGAATAAAGCTTTTAACCATTGATCTCAAGTGAAGTTACAATTGATGCAGAGAAAACTGACGATACTGATACAAGGCAGTCAAACTACGACTAGCTCTCAATGCGAAAACCTCGAGAGTAGCTTTCAGCAGGTCCATATGGTACAAGAGCTCCACCATGATCTCCTATTTACCCTATATGACCCACTATCATCACGTCAAAAATAGTGATCCCTGCTTCAATTTTTACCTTTATCTTGTCTTTTTCTACCTTTACCTCTTATGCAGTCCTATGCCTTACGGACTACCCAAAGATCCAGAATGCCGAGGAAGCTTTCATTGGTTGGAATGGTGCACATCCTGTCCCACAGAGGGGTCAGGTGGTATTCAATTGCATACATCCACGAGGCTTCACGGATGGGTATAAGATACACACGGCCACCTGCTCCTACATTCGACCTGATGAATGGTGCACCACATTCGCATATAAACGGACTCCTGTCCTCTGTCCACCTCCACGTGAGCTTGTCTAAAACCTAATTTCTGCAAAGCATTCCGTCATCTATTCGACACTGACGGGTACAAGGGACATTCAATAAGTCTTTGCACTTCATATTATTTTATCATGAATTTTGCTATATGTTTACAATCGGGAAACAGTGGTTTTAGATGTCCGTATGCTAAGCTGGAAAGAGTTTGGTGCGAATAGTTTACTGTCCGTGTAATTTCATGTACTTATTGCTTAACACGTTTGACCTTGAGAAATTACATGTATTGAGTCCTCTCTTTAGGTGCAAGTACTTATCGAATGCCCCTAGTACATTCCACTTTGGAATATATCATTTTGACGAACACTGAGTGTAATTGTGAAAGGAAGACTGGCCAATGACCTTAAATGAAACCACTGAAAAACAGACAGGTCAGACAATAGATTTTACCTATCCATATTATTGCAATACGTATTTTAGGGACGGAATGTAATGATTCATCTGACTCATTATTATACAATGTATTATACAATTGTAGCAAATTATTACAAACATTACAAAGGAGCAGGCAAGCCTGGATAGCCATGGTTGCATCAGGCTTAACGAATACTTACTCACCTTTCAAAGGGGCTCATCACCTATTGGCTGGGATCTTTCATAATTGATATCTTATTGACCACTGATTTTAGACTTGGAGTTTATTTTCCACTTACTCTGGTTCGAAATCTCCAGAGCCTACGCCTTCATCAACCGGATGGATGACGCCAGTCTCTCTCAGGATGTTTCGTGCAGTTAGAAAAAAAAAACAGTTTAAAGCGAAAGATCGTAGTAGGAGCGGGAACTCCCTAAAACAAGGTGGTTATTCACGGTTGCCTGTGGGGAACCTATCTTCTAATTTGACCATGCTAGTGATGAGATGTCAAGATGGTCATCCAGCAATGCATGACGGAAGTTCAAGATGGCAAGATATAATCACTCTGCAATGTGTCGACATCATGGAGGATATGGCAGTATTCCAGGAGCCACTCTGTAAATTAATAACAAGAACCCTAACTGCAAGACGTCCCGCAAAAATTAATTCAGCAGTTGTTTAAGAGATTCAAAATCGCAACTTAAAGACACGAAGGTGGATAGTTATAGTTCAAAACGATCCAACCTGCAAGAATCGAAGGCTCGTGTAAGACGAGCGATGATAATGCTCTCTCTGAGGGATACGTACACGCTTATTTGAAATCGGGAGCTTCAAATTTCGTGCTGTAATGCTCGCACGAACTTTACGACACGCTTTCGATATAAAATAAACTTGTACTCCATTTTCCGTAAGAAGGAGGGGAGCTGTTTCCTCCGATCGGGGAACCATTATTATGCTAATTTTCAATGTATTCTACTTTCACGACAGTGTCATGCGTGAATGAACACCCTATGATGGAGGGCATTAATGTGAATATGACTTACGTGAACTGGGACGGGAAATACCCTGCACCTCCAGGTGCAACAATCATATTCAGCTGCCCTGCAGGCTTCACAGACGGATCACTCAAACACAATGCCACCTGTTCCTTTCGGCTTGATGATGCCTGGGACAGCTCGTTTCAGGACAAGGATGTGCGATGCCCACGTGAGTTCCTCATACCATGCCTTTAAAAATGTCATTGTTTAGCAAGCGATATCTGACCCAATCGGAGGAAAACTGTCAGTTTTCTATGTTGACGTGGGGTGAAGACATTCCGAAAAATTTGATGGAAAAAATGCCTCGGTGAGGGTTAGGTAGGGCGAAACTTGAAATGCACGTATCCGCATTCTTTTTCTTCAGGAAGCATCTGTCCATCCACCTACGCGAGCCAAAGACGAGATGGTCCGGACGATGGTGATTGGTCGAAAACCATAGATTTCCTAACTTTTATTATGCGAAACCAAAATTGGACCGAAATGATTGCTTCACAACCTAAGTTGAAGATTCTGCTATTAACTGGTGGCTGTGGAATCATAACCTCACTGCTATCGTGCTCCGTTACATTGCACTGATCTTGTCTCTCACCAATTGATCCATCAGATTCGAGTCTTCATATCCTGGCATCTAATACATATAGACGATCGTGACTGACTGACTGACTGACGCTAATTCTAACCATGCTCCAGAAAGGTTAGAAATCTGAAACTTGCTACACATATACGTTTTGGGCGGTAGAGTTCAGAAAAAATCCGACTTTGGACGTACATGACCTGGGGGCACACATTTCAGGGGGAGAATCTTTTAAAACAAATATCGTCATGGAGAAGGATGTCATCGAGAGATAAAACTGTACGTCACCGTTTCTGTGGTGTAGTGGCAGTACATCTGGCCAGTAATAATGAGGCCAGGGTTCAATTCCTGGCCATTCCATGCCTTTTTTTTCGCTTCTCTTGCCTTCCATGTCCCATTGCTTGAATAAAACGGAGAAACATGGAAAGCTGAAACGTGGCATAGACGTGCCTACCGACATGATGAGTTCAGGAAAAATGCAAAATTTTATACCCATGCCCAGGGGGCATATTTTTAGGGTTCGACGCTTTCAAGAATTTATTTTTTCCTGGTGTATAGAGCGAGTGTGGAAATATGAAACTTGGTACATAATTACCTAACGGGATGCTGCATGCAGAAAAATTCAGAATGTGGAATGAAATGGCCTGGGGGCATGATTTTCAAAGGGAGATGTTTTCACATAATTTTTTTGCATTAGTTAAACCGATGGACATGGAAAGCTGGAACTTTGCATGAATTTGACTACCATGATAAGGAGTTGAAGAAAATGTTAATTCTTGATACATTCCCAGGGGAAAAGTTCACGAGGGGCGATGTTTGAAAAAGAAAAGAATTCGTCTGAGCGAATTGGACAGAAATGGATAGGTGAAACTTGTCACACGTATAAGTGACGAGATATTATTGAGTTGAGGGAGTATTCAGCTTTCCTGGTGCATCCCTTCCTGGCATAACTTTTGGGTGGGTCGGCTTTTCCAAACATGATTTTTCAACAGCGAAAAGGACAAACGTATAATATTGAAACTTTGTGGGCATGCTGTTCACTTAGGGTTAATTTAGATTTAAAAAATGGTACTTTCTGGTTAAATCGCCCGAGGGCACATATTTTGCAACTTTTCATGAATTTTCTGATCCAGCAAAACATAGGGTGCTAGAAAGTTTAAACTTGGCAAAGAAGTACCTGATGAATAACTGAGTAAAGAAACTATTCTACTTTCATATCATACTACGTACAAGCTATGGTCGCGCCTTCGGCGCTCCCTTACCTTGGATTGTGATTAATTCATTCATTTTTTTTCGAAATGGAAACACGTATTTAAAGTACTAACTTGAAATATTTTCTTGTTTCCATTTTTGTAAGGGTGGAGAATACATTTTGAAAAACTTCCCTCCAATAATCTACGCTAAGGATACATATTTCAAAAGTAGGATTTCTCCTCTACTCAGCCATTAAACAGGTACTTCTGAGGGAAGTTTAAATTTCCTGTCTCTGTTTCGTTGGGTCAAAAAAAATCAGGAAAATGGGACTGAAAAAAGTGCACTAATGGTGTTAACGGATTATTATTATTATTTTGAAATGTAGACACTGGGAACTCCATACCACCCAGTTTCAGCCTTATACGTTTCCCCTTTTTGCTGACGATAAAAAATATATTTGGAAAAGCAACCCATCCAAAAGCTGTGCTCTTGGGAAACGCTCAGCAAAAGTTAAATTTTTTCTTGACTCATCATCACGTCCGTTATGCGTGCGATAGCTGCTATTTTTCCATTTCTGCCCGAGTCGCTAGGATATTAAAAATTCTTTAAAACTTTACGTCCCCAAAAAATATGCCCTCTAAAAATATTTTGGAAATTTGACATTTGAGCTGAGTTATTCACCAGTCACGTTCTTGCCATGTTACAGCTTTCCATAGGTCACCATTTGTTTGAAGCAAAGAGAACTATTTAAAAAATATGTTCGGCGAAAAGGTGTGCCCCTATGGCGTGTATCACCCAAGTGGAATTTTTCCTGAACTCAGCATGTGAATAGCTACTTATATCAGTCAGTCACGATCGTCTATATATATTAGATTAAGCATTGAAATCCCGGAACTCTTTCTCGATGACCTTTTATTTGAACTTCAAGAAGAATCTGGAAATTCTTGTTTTCCTACCAATAGCGTAAAGTATACCAGCCCACTTCATCGCCAAAGACGAGAATTATTGAGAGAAGAAGTGAGGATAGCCATCCATTCATAAATGGTCTTTTTTGCTCCTTGGCTTCTTTCCTTTCCCTTTACGGCGTCGCCTCGTCTCTTCATTTGTGTGGCGCTGTTGCACTCCTTTCCATGAATTTTATTGTCAATTTTTTTTAGCTCAGATACAAGATCTTCCTATTTACTTAAAAAAAATTATAATAATCAACATTCAGTATAATTTCCCCCATTCCATGAAATTTTCATTCACGTTTTACCCCGTTTTCAAGTCCTTTTGTGTTCCCCAGGAGACGGGGACTTTTTGTCCTCAAAACACGGGTTCTTAATAATCAATTCACCATTAGGACGGGAATATACTTGATAGTACTTTTCGATGTTACTCTGGCTCCCATGTATGCAAGTGTTTTCAAGTCTCGTGAAGTTCAGTGGTCAAGTGCTTGACCTTGAAGGTAATTGTCTGCCAAGAATTTCCTGATAGTTTTGAATTTAATTTTTTTTTCATGAGGTCATGTGGAAAAATATATATTTCCAGGGATCATTTGGTAGAATGTTAATAAGGCCGTCCCTAATAAGGTCCTCACCTTCATTTTGCTGGTCATCCTCGCTCTAAGACACAATCAGAAATGAGGACATGAAAGTTGGAGCTTGCTGCAAAAATATTTGCAGAAGCCATTTAAATATTGATTGTTACTTCGTGTGTATACCAGGCGTTCGCACTTACACCCTCATCAGAAAGGCTTCAGAATCTTCAAGAAGATTACTGATATTGAGGAAGGAAGCGACAACTTTTCTTTTCCATTCCACAAGACAGTCCATAAAATCACCATCTGTCTGCAAGCACCCCTTTTCAATGTCACGCCAACATGCTGAGCAAGGTTGGCACATTTAAACTGTATCCATGTTTTGCGTACTTTCCTAATATTCATCCATCCAAATTAGGATATTTTGTTCAACAGAATATCCGCGTATTTAGAAAAATACAATCATGGCATGTTTTCCTCCCCAAGAACCCAAATATTACAGTCTATGAACTGAATCACAACTGAATCAAAGGTTATGGAAAAATATAATCAAGGAATGTCCCTAGAAGCACATAACATTGAATCTATGCTGTTTCAATGTTATGTGCTACATGGCAAGAACATGGATTTATTATATATATTGACCTTTTCCAAATGATGCAGATATTCCTTGTATTTTATGTCCGTTTCAGGGCTGATCTTCTTCTCTCTGAATTTATTAATAGCTTCTTCTCGATATAGTTTCAGCTTCTTCTTGGAAATCGTTTCATGCTTGGGCTGGTTAAGTTCATCCCTGTACCAATTATATGCTTCTTCGACAGCTTTCCCATAACGTACCTCTAAATGGACCTTCGAACATAGAGAGTAGTAATGTTTAATAAGCTTCTTTCCGCCAGGACATCCAATGGATTCACGTGGGGATGCTTACCTGAACAATACCATGTTCCGGAAATAAATTATTATCTTGCTCATTGCAAGTTGTCACAAATATCCTGCAATACTCCATAAATGTCTCAAGTGTGACAGTCTGATCTGCTATCTTCTTTGTTATCACGTTTTCTGGTGAAATCAACCTCTGGACCAGGTCCTTCAGCTGAGTTGTGAAATCATTTTCCATGTCTGAAAATTCGTGAATTCATGAATTCATGAGTATTGCATCAAATTACTACAATTTGTGAACGGTTTTTGGGTATGAAAAAACCTAACCTTGCAAGGGGAAAGGAAATCTCATAGAATCTTTCTGTAAAATTATGAATAATGTATAACAAAGTTCAGATGTTCATCATTCCAAACCTACCAGACAGCTGGGAACCGTCGAAGTTCCGATCTGTTGTTACTATGGTCCCAGGATGTGGCATAAGGTAACAACTGGTCTCAAGGAAGCAGGATTGAAGGAATTCCTGTATGCTACTGTTTTTTTCTTCCCCAGAAGTCTGCTTGGACGAAAGAGCATAAAATTCATGGAAACCTATAAATAACTGACCCTTTGTGAGCAAACATCAAGTTAAACCTGAATATGTCTGTCGAGGTATTTCTTCCCTCCTTCAATGCCATACTGGTACTCATGAGGATACTTCCAATCCCTCACAAGAAGTAGGAGTTTTTGAAAAGGTTTTTCTTGACACTGAAGGCACAGCTTCCCGTAATCAGTGAACATCTGGAATAGAGAATCCTGTTTTAGCCTCCAGTGGGTCAGGTATTAGGCGAGTGGCTTAGATATGAATCCATACATTCGCGTATGCCAAATAATAATGATTTTCAGCTTAATATATGCTGCATATAGACAACTGACTGGGTGACACTAATTCTAACCATGTTCTAGATAAGTTAGAAATCTGAATCTTGGTTCACAAGTAACTATTGTGATGCAGCGTTCAGAAGAACTCCGACTTTGGAGGAACATGCCCTGGGGACACATTAGAGGGGAGATATTCTGAAATATATATTTTTGTATATGTCAATTGGAGAGACATGGAAAGCTAGAACTTGACAGGAACATGCCTACTGAGACATTGAGGCCAAGGTAAATGTCAAGTTTTAGATATATCGCCTAGGGGTCAATTTTTTGGAGTGAGACATTTTCAGAGATTTTTTGTCGAAGCGAATCGGCATAAAAAGAAAGGTGTAACTTGGCGGTGACGTAACTGACATGACGTTGAGTTCAAGAAAATTTCAGCTTTTGTTATGCTTCCTTCTAGGGCATAGCATTTGAGTGGGTCATCTTTTCCAAAGTTATTTTTGCAGCAGCGAAAAGAGCAAATGAATGAGGCTGAAACTTTGTAGGCACGTACCGGTAGTTCCTCTGAGCATCGATTTCAAGAAAAAATGTAATTTGTAGGTGAACTTCAGAGGGCAAAGGGGCGTTTTCTGATTTTTTTTGATCCAACAAAACATTGAGCGACATATAGGTGAAATTTTGCGTACCTGATGATAAATAATGAAAAAATCCTTCTTTGGAAATATGTCCCCACGGGTGGATTATGGGAAGTATTTCAAGATGTGTTTTTCGCTATTATGTATGGGAACACATCTAACTGGTGGGGGACATAAGACATCATAGGAATATTGTTTTAAATTATAATCTCGATTACGTCACCTCATGGCACGTATTTCGACTAGGACGTACTTTATGTTTCTACAACTTTGAAAAATATTATTACAGAAAACTTAAATTCGGTACGCAAGTCCTTCTCTCGATGCCAATATTATTAACATTTTTAGTTTTGAAATTCATCCCGACGTAATTTTCCTTTAGGGGATTTTCTACCGAAGACAATTTCGCTGTTAGAAGCGTCATAGAATAGAAATGGATTACTGATATTTTGTAATCATGCAGTTCTTGGTATACACATTTTATTACATTTTAAATTCATACGGTACATACCCACAGAGATGCTATTCCTCTCAAACACAGGTATTCTCAATCATTTTCGCTCTCACAAAACAGAGAGATTAAAAAATGTTAGCTTAATTCCAAGGATACTTGCCCAGGTGCATACTTAGAAAATAATTTTTATTTCGAGATATTTCATTTTGGGGCATACTTTTTTGGAGACATACTCCATGAATTTTTTGTTCCAGTAAGAAGGCAGATACAGAAAAATGAAATTCCCTTAAGATTATTACCCACTCCTAAAATGTCTTAGGGCAAACAAGCTTACTATATCGACTCCTCTGATTCAAATAACTCCTTCAAATTACTGGACAGGAATGATGAAAGAACCTCAACATTGTCGACAACTTCAGCTAACTGCTAACTAAAACGAAAACGCGATATCACAAACACATAAAGTAATTAGTTCTAAAAGTAACGTCATATGTTCCAAAATGATTCGGGCATCGCCACTAACACTTCCTGACGTCATCTCTTGACGTGACGAAGGATTTCAATCCGGCAAGCATATTGGAGACATGGTGAGCGCATTGGGCTGGAGTGATGGCGTCTCACAATTCCCCCAAGGCTGCCCGTAACCCCTCTTTGCTTCTCGGTCGTCGCTTTTTCAGGCCAGACTTCACAATTCCCAGATAATCTTTATCCTCGACATTTCTGGACTGCTGGCTGCCTGTAGTTGCACCTCCATCTGCTGGTTTTCGAACCATTGGCGAGTTGTATTGCTGGTATGACATCAGGCACCATCCTGGTGGAAGATAAAGTCGCACTCAGGGTGGATGGAGTTCTACCACGATGGAATTATGGCATTCTTGGGGATTTCAATATTATTTCTTGCTGTCTCATCCCATCGATAAACAACAGCTGTCCTACTCCTTTGCTGTTCGTGGAGGCACCATCAGACTGCCAGGGAATTCAACCATGATGTTAATGCATTCGGGATGAAAAGCCTCATCCATACGACAACTCTCTACTGGTGATCCCCGAGATAAATGATGAACATAATAGCTCCATACCACTTGATTCCAGACTGTCAATGGCCATTCCATGAACTTTTTTCCCATTCGACTCGCTTTTTCTTCAAGTTTGACGTCAAAAATAGTTTTTCTTTGGCCTTGTAAAACGAGTCCTTCATCATCTTCAGGCGGCTGATGAAGGAGCGCCGAAGACGACAATAGAGTTTCTTTGCTCAAAAGGCAAACATACTCTCTAGTTCTCAATATTTTTTCTCCAATTAAGCTTTTTTTTACATAACGGAACGCCACCATGTCTCTCAATGCACGAAAAGTAATAGTAGTATTAAAAAATAGGTATGTTCTGGGGGATGGCGCAACTTGGCGCAATTTCCTATTTATTAAATCATCTCAATTTCATATGAATTAAACTCAGGTCATCATCGATTTACACAAGTACTCATTGAATACAGATTAACGTTGAATTATCGAGTGAGCGATGATTTGCATTTTCCATGTACCTTTATATGAAGCGTTTTTCGATTTGAAAACATATTATGGCATGAATTTCGCGGCATAAATTCCACGTTTCAATTGACTAATATCTCCCGTCATCGCTTCACATCAGGGTAATCGATAGGGTCGGATGGAAGGATCGATTACGCTTACGTGTTTGGACACATTATCTCCTTTGAGTAATGATTGTGGTGGCTTCTTCCGTCACGCTCCCTCCCGCCAGCATTGCACAATCCGTACGTCATATTGTACTATTTTCCTTATTTCGACTTCAACTCACATGGTTTGAGTACAGAAAATTCCCCATCACCATACCTGGAGGTTCGATAGGTCATCGGTTGTGATTTTTTCCTTAAGGTTATAAATCTGCACAGAGCTGAGTAAAGTGCTGAGAGCGAAGATTTTTGCACTGTGTTCGCGCTTCTTGCCTGGGCTGAAGGTCCCTTCAGTATCCATCAGAATAATAAACCCCTGAGTAGAGGAGAACCTTTCTTGGTTATGTTCAGCATTCATTGTGAGAAATTACTATGATGACGAACGGAAAATCGTGGTAGTATTCATACCTCTTCACCAGTAGGCAGCGTAATAGGGAAAAGCTCCGACCAAATGTTGATTCCTGACGTTTCACTCTCACAACTCATTTTCCAAGGGAATCCTCTCAAAGGAGTGTCGGTGTCTTCAAGCCATTTTTCCTGGTGATAAGAAAGAAACAAGTGAAAATAAATGGAGTGTAGAGTTCCATCTACACTCTCTCTCACAGGCTCGAAGTATGCTTCTTACCTTGCATTTGAGGTAGCGTAGGATGAGGCTCATCAGGAAGGATTTCCCTTCTCTGCATTTTCCAGCAATGGATATAACTACAACAGGCTTATCCTTGTTTGCAGCCGATTCCAGCTGAACATTCCCCATTTGGTAGAAATCACGACCGTTCTCAGATTTCTCGTGTTTAACGAGGCAGAATACTTTTTCTTGATCCATTTCCTAGATATGACTAGAGTTTATTTGAATTTCCAGGAATAATTAGCTAATAATTAAAAATTAAAAATTTAGAAAAATGGATCCAGAAAAGCATGATGGGTACTTTAAAAGTTTTTACCAAATCTTAATGTATTCTTGATCCTAATGAAATCTTTGTCATAATTAGGATTTCAATGTGACTTAGTGATGCCAAATGTTTTTGTCAATTTGATAACGCTTAGTGAAAGGCCCTAAAGAGATGACATAAACCCATACATTTCTTTAGTGTTGATCTTGTGTGATTTTCCAAATGCCCAACTGTGAAACTGTTTTGAAGAGATGGAATCATGACTGGGCAATATTGCCACCACTGCACAATTTGAACCTTATTTTTAGAATTTTTACCGCAATTCTTGGAAGAAATGGGCTTGAGCCATTTTTTCATCAATGGATGTGGCACGGGGGCTTCTGCACCCGACATTTTAATGCGGATTTGTGTTTTATCTGCTGCGCTCCAATGCAAATTCTACAATAGGGCAACATACGTTCCTCAATCATATATTTAGTCACATTTATTTTCTCACTTGCTGGAATTGGAAGACGTCCACCAGGCTCATCCTACAAGCTAATATGTTCACACCAGAACTTCAAATAACTGTCGTCCAAAAGCATATAGATGGGGCAAGAGCATAATTTATCATTTCATCGTCTCAAACACTTACCCACTTAGGTGTCTTTGAAAACCTTGCAAAATCTGTACTAGCAACTCTTTCCCAGTCAATGATTGGGAACTGACTGTAAGAGACCTGAGCTCCTAAATCTTATTCCATCGCTCCCTCAAGACGCCTGACGTTCGAGTCCCCGACGATTACAATGGCCTGAGTTTTCCCTCTCCCTTTCAAAACGGCCAGAGCTCGTCCTGCCGACCTCACACCTGCTCCCGCCTTCAGTTCCGTCATCCAAGCTGACCTCCCTCAACCTGAGAAACTTTTTTTCGGTCTTAATGACCGCCCCCTGGAAATACTTATCCTTCCCCCCCTTTACGACCTAAGCCCAATTACTAGCCACCTGGGAGTCGGCACTCGACGCAGCTGTCAAAGGGCGAAAGGGCCACCCTCCCAATAAAGTCCGGAAGGCTGGGGAACCCTCGAAGTGCCTCCTCCACCCTAACTAGCTACGCCACTAAATCATCTCTCTCCCCCTCGCAGCATTGCACAATCCGTGACGCAATTGCACAAGATTTCGAGTCCCACAAAAAAACTCGAAAGCGTAGGATAAACGTCTCATTCCCTGCATTAGCCAGAGATGGCTTCTCTCTCGATACAGATATGCTATTAATTATTCATTTAATCCCTTCTGTACCGTATAATTATACCTGGCCTTTGTCTACCTCTCTGTCAGTTTCTCCGTCCATAAGCGTGACATGGATAGAAAGAGTAGGGAGGGAGGGCACGCGGCTCCACCGACCCTACACCGCCATCTCCGTCGAAGGCCCCCATGGATCGAATTTCCGACCTAACCGGCCCGATTCGAATTATGGCCCGCACACGACCCGAACTTCGATCACCGACAGAACTCTGGGGACCCGTTCCGCGGATCATGTCGGGCAATTCGGATTGACCCGCAGGCCGCTTAGACCTCCAAGCTTCAGAACTCCTTGTCTGGTTTCCCCTCATACTCGACTGGAAACCCGATTGCAAACCGAGCTTCACGCCCGATCCAAGTTTCGCGTCGATCCAATCGAGCCGACACCTTTCCTTTTCTGAGCTTTAAGTTGCTGCACTAACGGTTTAGGGAGGCATCCTCGGTCTTTCATCCCACACACTATGGTGTTCCTAATTCAAACGGAGCGTTTCACTTGAATGCCAAGGAGTGTTCGTACCTTACCACACCTTTTTCCTAGTCTCATTATAGCAAGCACCTGACACAACAATTTATAATCCCAAGATTTGAGACAGAGTCATGGAGCCCAGACGATAAACAGCTCATCTTCCTATGAGAACCCCTTGCATTAGGAAGAAGTTTCTACTAATTTAAACTTGCTTGAGTTCGGTTGTGGCATTCGAGGAGTGAGGTTGTCTAGACACTCGCTCCGTCGAAACATGAAATGCTGGGTGCGTAAGGCGAGTTCGACCCATGCCAAGGAAACCAAAGATAGTGACAGACAAGAATCAACCCTCCATCAAGGTGTGGAACTCTAACTAC